AAGAGGAAGTCCACAGAGTGGGAGGAAATCTTCACCAGCCATACCTCTGACAGGAGATTAATATCCAGAATATAGAAAGAACTCAAAAAACAAAGAAGAAAACAAATGACCCATTTGAAAAATGGGCTATGGATCTGAACAGAGAGCTCTCAAAAGAAGAAATAAGATGGCTAAGAAACATTTTAAAAAGGGCTCAACATTGGGGCTGGAGAGATGGCTCAGCGGTTAAGAGCACTGACTGCTCTTGCAGAGGACCTGGGTTTGATTCCCAGCACCCACATGGCAGATACAAACCATCCTTAACTCCAGTTCCAGGGGAATCCAAAGCCTTCTTCTGACCTCCGCAGCATTGCACAATATGGGTGCCCTGACATACATGGAGGCAATACACTCATACATATAAAATAAAAATAATAAATAAAAAATATTTTTAAAAGAAATGTTCAACATCCTTAATGATTAAGGAAATGCAATTAAGGAAATTGATCCAGTTATACCACTCCTTGGTATAGACCCAAAGGACTCATCCTACTGCACAGATATTTGTGTAGCCATGTTTGTTGCTGCTCTTTTCACAATAGCTAAGAAATGGAAACAACCTAAATGTCCCTCAACTGATGAATGGATAATGAAAATATGGTACATTTACACAATGGAGTTCTAATCAGCCATAAGAAAAAAGAAATTATGAAATTTGCAAGTAAATGGATGAAACTAGAAGCTTGTTATACCACGTGAAGTAACACAGACTCAGAAAAACAAGTGACATATGTTCTCTCTCACTTGTGGATCTCAGCTCCAAATCCTTAGATGTGAGTATATATCCTGATGTAACCACAGAAGTCAGGAAAATGGGAAGGAACCATGGGGATAAAAGCAATAGAAGGAGCTTGAGAGCTGGGTAGATAGGTGTTATCAAGGGGGAAATGGGGAAAATGGGGTTCTCTGACTGGGGAGGGAAAAGAGAGGATTATACAAGGGGAGAGAGAGGAAAGATAAATAATGCTTAGATGTTGTGAAAAACTAAAGGGAAATGTATTATTCAAAATCCTTCTGAAAAATACACATACAAAATATACACCTGTGCGTGTGACTAGCTGAAGGCCGTATAACAGAAACAGCGCCAGGCAGGAGAACCTCCCTTCGAGTTGTTGGTCAGGGCAGTCCAAGAGACTCCTAAAATAACACAGGCTATTGCCACAGTCCTTGATTGTCTTCCAGAACTTGAAGATAAGACCCTATTGCTGAAGAGAGGATGTACTTTGGACACAGAACTTGGAGCAATCGGGCTGGAACTGACCTGGAAGTCTCCTCCCTGAAGACTAGCTCTCATAATATCAGAGGATACTATGCAAGCTGCCAAGGGAGAAATTCAATGGTCCTACACATCTGTAAAGCCTAATAAACACAACAATGACTGGCCCAGCAAACTATCTCTCTTGGTACAATAGTGGTACTTTTATCATGGGGGTAATCAATAGCTGTCTAATTAGACTTAAGACTCACTCAATGGGAGGGAACTCATGTATGGTACTGCGAATATAGCCAAATACACATGGTTGGAGAGATCCTAGATCCTAGAGAAAAACCTACTTTTGTCATGTCCCTAGACTAATGGAATTTCTTACTGTATGCTAAATATGCATCCTTGTATTTACAGACCAGTGTACTTACCAATCATCAAAAAAACCCTTCTTTTTGCAAGAGATGGAGACTATTACAGGGTTCCATAATTGGTCAAATGCAGAGAATAAATGTCCATGAGATGCCCGTCCCTAAGTGACATGTTTACAATGCAACCTCAACACCTAAGGCTCACGGACCAGCAGGGCACAAAGAATACTAATGCATCCCTCTACTTTCATCAGCAAAGCTTCCTCATGTAGCAGATGGCGACTAACCCAGAAAGCCACAATTAGCCAGAGTGCAGAGAATAAGAGACTGTAGAATGCTTGTCCCTGGGTAAGACACCTATATCAAACCTCTGCCACCCAGGGTCTAGAGACCACTGAGTAAGAGCCAGGGGTGGTGGATGACCACAAGGAAACAAGGGTTTTCAGGCAGCTGGGAAGTAGCTCATATGAACTTACAGTAATGGTGACAGCATGCACAAGACCCATGTAAGCTTGAACCAAAAACCCAGCATAGAAATGGGGAAGTGGGTAAGAAGCCCAAACCTCAGCTGATAAATTAGTGGTAACTGATGACTACTAGGAGAGGGAGAGCTGGTTTTCTTTAAGGGAGTGATGGTAGATAAATTGACTAGGCTCCAGCAGATGGACTCACACTGAGGGACATTTGGGGATGCAAACTTGGCTTGATAGACTTTAACATATATGACAGAAATGTTGAAATGAAATGAAATCCAGTGAGGGGCTATGGAGGGTGCAGCTAAGGGAGGGGCTAAATATGATCAAGATATATTGTATGAAATTTGCAAAAATTCAATAAAAAATACTAATCTGTGGTGACAAACAGGAGACCAGTGGTTGCCTAGGGTTAGGTGAAGGGGAGGGAGAGATGGCAAAGGGGTGGAAAGAAATTTGGGGAACCTGTGGCTAAGTTTTCTATCTTGAGCAGAGTAATGGTTTTCCATTTATTACATGTTTAAAATTTTTTCTCAAATTAAAAAAAATTTTTAAAAAGAGAAAAAGGGCTGGAGAGATGTTTCAGCGGTTGGGAACACTGGCTGGTCTTGCAGAAGACCCGGGTTTGAATCCCAGCACCCACATGGCAGCTAAGAACTGTTTGTAACTCCAGTCCCAGGGGATCCGACAGCCTCTTCTGACCTCTGCGGGCATTGCATGACATGGGTGCACTTGCCTACAAGCAGGCAATACACTCATACACATTAAAAAAAATAAACAAAAAATTTTCCCAATTAAACCTAAATATGTATAGCTTATTGTGTCAATTATATCTTAAAATTATGTTTGTTTTCGAGCTGGTTTCAATTTCTTTGTGTGTGTGTGTGTGTGTGTGTGTGTGTGTGTGTTTCTGTGAGTTTATGTGCACCACATGTGTACAGGAACCTGAGAAAGCCAGAAGAGGGTAGTGGATCCCCTGGAACTGGAGACAGGCAGCTATGAGCCTGGATGGGTGGGTGGGTGCTGGGAACTGAACCTTGGTCATCTGCAAGAGCAGTAAGAGCTCTTAGCCACTGAGCCATCTCTCCAGACCCACTCAAAACTATTTTAAAATCAAGTATTTTGTATGTCTTTGCTTTTAAATTTCCTTTGGCTACTAATTCCCTTAATCTTTTTTCCTAATTTAATGAACGTTTTTCCTGTATGTTTGCGTGTGCCAGAAGAGGGCATCAGATCCCCTGGAACTGGAATTAGAGGGCTGTGAACTACCATGTGGGTATTGGGAACTGGCAACTGAACCTGGTCCTCTACAAGAGCAGCAAGAGCTATTAGGCTGGGACTGAGTGCAACTCTGGGAATTCTCACTGTTTGAAGAAGGCCTGGGTTAAGAGCAATGAAATATGTCAATAAGTTGAGTGTATGCTGAAGTTTCTGGAACACAATTAAAACAAGAGAGAAAATTAGTCTGCAGTTTCATACTTACAGAGTTAAAATGAGATTGGACTGGAAAAAAGCTTCTGACCAAAAGGAAGGCAAAAAAGAAGGGCAATGCCAGGACGGCGAGCACATAAGAAGGAAGATAGAGCCTCCTGCAGTTTCATACTTACAGAGTTAAAATGAGATTGGACTGGAAAAAAGCTCCTGACCAAAAGGAAGGCAAAAAAGAAGGGCAATGCCAGGACAGCGAGCACATAAGAAGGAAGATAGAGCCTTGGTGCCAGTAAGGACATCAGAGCGAATTAAAGGGTTCTACTGAAAGCTTAAAAGTGCTAGACTGAGCAGAGCATGGCAGTGCACACCTATAACCCCAGCACGTGAGAGGCAGAGGCAGGCTTGGTCTACATATCGAGTTCCAGGCCAGCCAAGGCTATTGTAAGACCCTTTCTCAAACAAGAAAAACAAACAAAAGGTGAACCTCTGTAAAACCATACATCTTCAAAGCTCACACAGAACACATAGACATGGGAAATCTAAAATGAGGGCGCAGTTGCATCGTGCAACCCCTCAACCCAAGAACGGTGACACAGTTCTCCTAACATCAGGGGGAAGTCTCAAGACATGTCTGGAAATGAAATTAATCAACTCAGCATAGGATGACATCACCAAGAGGGCAGTTACAACTAGATATCTGCATGCTTCCCTAAAGTGACCCTCAAAAGAATAAAGCAGCTTATGATTTTATAAGAGACAGAAATGGACAAAACTGTAGAACAGAAGAAAATAAAATTAGAACCAGGAGCCATTAAGCTGTCTATTAGATTAACAGACCGGGAGATATCGTGAAGATAGGATTATGACAAATCAAAGCTCTGAAGCACGGGGCATGCCCAGGGTGCTGTCTGACAGCTGCATATTTTTTTAAAAGCCCCTCACAGCACTCGTAAAAGTAGGTCCTAAGAGAAATCTTAGCCTTGCAATCCCTCCCCTCCCCCAACACCCACTAGCATGTAAGAAGGCTGGAGAAGATGGCATTTTCTTTCGGGGTGCAGCACTACTTTTAGGGTGGGTGACCAAACGGAACAAAAATGCAGGAACCGCAGTTAAATTTGAATTCCAGAAAAATTCCAGATAATGGTTAGTATGTCTCTTCCTTACAAATGTGTTCATTGCTTCTCTGGAGTTCACATTTAGCTTTGTGTCTAATTTTTTTTTTCCTGGCAGCCCTAAACTTAGGCAAGGAAGGGTCGTGATGGTCAGGTTGGGGGCTCCTGGCTATGTCATGTCTGAGCTGAGAGAGGATGCCTCCTGCCCATCTTGGGTCCTGACTTGAGCAGCCACAGCTCAGAGTTCCTCCTTCCTAAGGAGACTGGGGCTCCCTGAAAGGTCACCTTTCCAAGGTAACACAGCTCTGTCTTCTCCAAATTTAGGCTGGAGATGGGGCCAGTGGAGTCAAGTTAACAAACACAGTCATGATTTGCAAAAACACAGACACTTTAATAAGTTATGAAAGTAAGGAGCCAAATTTTGTTATACAGAACAAAAATGCACTGGTGGCTGTTGTCAGTAAGAAAAGTTTGAGATTTAAGTTGAGCACCGTGGTGGCTGTGTGTGGTGGCCACCTGTCACACAGGAGTAAGCAGAGTCAGAGCGCCAAAGACATCAATACTGAGCACCATTTATATACTTACAACAGACCACAAAAGAAAAACCCTTAAAATACAATGCAAGGCTTATACATGAAATTCCATGAGTTTTCCAAAAAGGAGTTTGCCCCAAATGTAGCACAACTCTCCTCAAGAATGAGAAGCAGCTCCCAGGTACCTCAGGAGATGTTCTGGGTGATGTGGGACAGTCTGGGTGTCAACAAGATGATGTGAGAAACTTCATCTAGAAGACACCCACTTGCTTCTGCAGGGCTCCAAGGGCACCTTGGGAGAGGAGCTGAGAGGTTGTTCCTAAGCCTGTCTTTCCTACGGTCTCATGCTCAGGAGACGTGCAGCTTCTCCAAGCCCAGTGGACACTGTGTCCTTGGACAGAGACATGTGAGCACCACTAGCTACAGAGAGGTCTGGAGGTCTGTGGCCCAAGGCAACAACAATGGCCTGTGGGGCCTCATCTCCCACAGAGCATCTTTCTCCCCTGGGTAATGGACAGGTACCCTGGGGGATGTCCCACCTGGAGATCCTATAAAGCCCTGCTTTACTGGGATCTGAAAATGGAGTGTTACCACTCCACAGATCTTAGGTTAATTAGACTGAGTAATACTCTGGCTGGTGTTACTAAAGAACTTTCCTGCACATTCTACTGCAGACCCAAATAGTGCTCAGTTCTTCAGCCCATGAGAAAACCCAGCAGCCCTTGGTTCAAAAACAAGGGCTGGCCCTGGGCTCTACTCCCTATTTACAGACAGGGAGGGTGGCAGAAATATTCACAAGCACATACAAGGAGAGACAATCAGAGGACTTCTCTAGTTTGGGTCTTTGAGAGATGGGGCAGTATAGGAGCATGTGAAGAAAGTGCAGGCAGAGGAACGGGTACAGGCTGGGCTGGGGGAGGGAAACCAGACACCTCCCAGGAGGACAGTTGAGCACCATCTCAGACACCCATCTAGCTGGGTCCCTACTCTCTGACCTTATTCTGTAGACCACCCGAACAGACACGTTCCCACAGATTCAAACAAACACACCCAGCACCTGGGAACTTAATGGAGAGCAGCCATGATGGCAATCATCCTCCTCAGTCTGTTTTCTCACCCCATGTAATGGGGCTCAACAGGAAAGAGTTCTCGAAGACCCATGATACGTGAGAGCACAAGGCCTCTAGAACTTTCCTGCATGTGAGAAGACTCAGATTCATGGTCAGGGTAGACCCAACTAGGGTGCTAATGTGACCATGGGACATACCATGTGAGGATGTTGGAGCCACATGTTCATAAAATGCCAGTGCATGAGAGGCAAAGATCACGCCTTCCTCTCGTCCACCCCACTCCCCTCCTCTTATTTCCCCTATTCATATCTAGTTTACAAAGCATCAATTTGCTCCAAATAGGAGTTATCTAAGTTTCCAACAAACTAAAGCAGGGCTCCCCACCTTCCACTCTGTGCCTCTCATTGTAGGCCACTGCATTGCTGGGTTCTAGAACTTTTAAAGGTTTGAGATGGGGATGGCCAGGGTCAGACTACAGTAAAAACACATCCTCTGATCCCAACGCCCCAGAGCCTGGCACTTCAGCACCCCGGAGTCAGCACTGGAATCCCCGGAAAGGGAGAGCCCTGGGTCTTGGACCATACACTGGGTCATCCCAGCAGAGTTGCCTGCTTTCTTCATCTTTCCTCTCTGGAAAGGGCCTGGGGCCAGGCTGGCCAGAGGAGAACATTGGGGGTCTTCCTCCAGAAGCCTGGGCAGCAGCAAGTGAGGCAGAACTAGTGGAGAGGAGGCAGATCCTTGCTGCCTTTAGCCCATGACTCCTGTTTAGAGCTGTCCTCATATCCCCCATTACAGGAATCTCATCACTTTCCTGGAACTGATTAGGTAGCTATGCAGCCCATGCTCAGCTAAGACCCAAACATAGTACATCATGAGCACCGAATAGCTAAACTGTACCGGATAATTCATTAAGGATTAAAACTGAGACCAGAGATTGCAGCCTGGTGGATCTAGAACCTAGCAGGCAGGCCATGCTCCTCCTCCCCACCTTAAAGGATTTTGAGTAAACCTTTAAAGATTGAGAGTTCCACAGGAAAATGTGGAATCGTATGATGTGCACATATGACAAGGCCAGGGCTACCAGGGAAGGGACCCATGTCCCAGTGGCAGGCATGGCTAGAGCCCCCAGCAGCTCTAGATGTGTGTAGCTCTCAGGTTGGTCCAAGTCCTCAACTGACTATACACTCAATCTCATCTCCTGCCTGGCCTTTGCGGGTATTTGACTTTGTGACCTCCATTTCTTTGTACCCATCCTGACAACTGATCAGCTGTTAAATAAATCACCATGCCCCTCATAGTCCCTGAGGGACTGGTGTTGAACGTTCTCCACTGTCACCACGCACAGGAAGAATCTTAACTACTACTCAGATACTTGGAGTAAACTTTTTTTTCTCTTGGAGTCTTCCCTCCTGGTCTCTCCTCACTGACAGAGATTGTTCTGGATGCCTGTCCACTCTGCACCTAACACCACTACAAGATTTAGGTCATTCCTGGCCTGAACATACCTGTTAGGCTGATTGTCACATGCTCATGTCTGCATAAATTCTTTTATACCATTCTCCCTGTTTTCTCAAACCTTTTTGGAATCAGGAATTTTGGCTTCATCTCCAGCAGCACAGGATTTGCTATCCCACGGAACATCTCTATAAGCAAGAAAAAAAAAATAAAAGCTATGGATGCTATCTTTCCATTTTATTAGAACTTTCCGAGCGTCTCTTTCTTCCGCACTGCATTAATGAGCTCCTGGATCCTTTGGTTCCTTGTCTTTACATACGGACTCGGTCGTTGAGGGATCAGGTTAGGTGACTGGACTTCATCATCCAGACCATGAATCTTGTAGGGGACATCCACAGCGTTAGTTTCCGGGTGATCCTCAGTGGTGCTGATGCTGGATGCATTGAGGGGGACCTCCAGGGGAGGCCCTGGTGAAGGCTGAACCTGGGTGGCCTGAGTGGGTCCTGGGAGTGTGGGCATGAACACGTCGATGTCATTGTGCTTCCCAGGCGGAGGCTCCACCCCATCGTCTTCCATTTCCGTGAGGTTGTTTTGTAGGTTACAGGACTTGCAGCAGAGCTTGTTGTAGCTTGGGATGGAGCAATAGCGAGACAAGACTTCCATCCTACAGAACATTGACTTGTCGCCTTGGCACTGGCCCTCTGAAAGAGAAAAGTGGGATAAATAACCAAAGGACGGCGTAAGGGGGACTTGTATCCCCACAAGGTACAGCTTGCTGGAGGAGGTGTGTGACAGAGTCCAGAGACAGCACAGAGCAGTGAGCTTGTGTGGAGAGTACATGTGATCAGTGTTCAAGCACCTGAGCGAGGTGGCATCTGCAGACCCCCACTTGGGAGTGCTCCCCTTCTCCAAGCAAGCACCAGCTGACACTGCATTTTCAGTGTGTCTCAAAGGCTGAGAAAGAAGTGAGGTCAGTTTGTTCTTAGGAGCAATCCCAAGTTCAGCTTAAAGAATAGGACTTGATCGGGATCTTCTACATTTGATATCTCAGTGGAACCTCAAAGTAATTTTGTTGCATGATTTGACTCCAAGGCAATGTCTGGGTAGCACCTATAACAAAATTAAACCTAAAAGAGCCAACTCCTAAATACCAACACGGCATGTCAGCTGTGACCTCACTCTGCCCCACCATGCTCCTGTTCCGATACAACCTCTCAGGGTGTTTCTGCACAGACCCTTTAGTCTCTCTGAAACTTGAGCAGGTCTTTGAGCACTTCCCTCAGCTTATCTAATGCCTCCTGTCCTGCCACTGCTCCATCCAGCCTATGGCACTGCTGCTCTGGGCTCCTCACAGCTTCCTGAACACAATATCATCACGAGGCTGATCTTCATGCTCAGCCCATCCAGATCATTCCTTTCTACCCAGGAAACTGGGCATCCGTGGTCCTGCCTGCACGGGGAGCCCAGACTCTCTACAGAGGCCACTCGTCTATCTGTCTGTCTGTCTGCCCCCCCACTGCTGTTTCCTTCTTGGCCTGTCCCCAGCTCTACCTGCAGCTCAACTATTCAGTCACTTGTTTCTCTTGCTGTCTCTCTTTATTAGTCTTTTTTCTAAATGTCACCCTCCATCCCCTCTCTCCCACTACATTCCACAACTCCCAAACTGAAATGGATTCCAAATTCTACACAGTATAAAATAACAAGTCATGTCATGGGAGATATCTAGCCAACTGTAAATCATTGATCGCTGTGCTCAGAGGTCCCCGCCCTGCAGCTGTGGTTTCCCCCCACTTCTCTCTCCAAGTGATGATTTCCTTTCAGGCAATTCCACCCGAGTTCCTTCTGTTTTCTAGGTCTTTCTCTTATAGGATCTATTTATTTTTTTTAATCCAAACTTTTTTTTCACTTAATCACACAGACACAACTTCTGTCGTCTTACCCAGAATTCCACAGTGATGTCTCAAGCCTTGGATGTGTTCTCCCTTCCCCTCTTACTCCTCAGTAAGACCTTGTCTCTTAATTAAAGGAAGGAAGAAAAGAGAGAAGGGAGGAGACTGAGAGAGGGAGGGAGGGAGGGAGGAAGAAGGGCCTTGGGAAAAAAGAGTAGGGAGGGAAGGAGGGAGGAGAGAAAGGACCAAGTGTGAGATGGGAGATATGTCTGACATAGCTAGCCCAGACCCAACAGTGTCATTTATATGTGAGGCTATCCTGGCCTGCTGAAACTCCCTGGAGCGACAGACAAGCACACCCTCCTCCCATTGGGGGCTAGAGGTTCTACATGGTCACTGCTCCAGGCTGCAATGTCCCTTAAGAGCCTGGTGACCCACCAACTCCAATGTATTGGAGATTTAGACTCTTGCATCATGTAAACTCCTATAGGCCCTAAAGGTGCCTGGGAATCATCCATCCACCTAAGCTCAACCAGTGAATGGTTGTCAGATAGTTAGGTGTCCCCTTCCATCTCCTATTCACTCACCCCCTCTCTAGTTATCTATATGTTCATTAGTGGTTCTTCCTAGACACTCTAGACCATCCATGTCCATGATTCTCTATCTCTCCCACGTCTGCCTGACCTTGCAGCCTTACCTTTGGGATGCACCATGGTAAGAGCTTCCTTTCTGATCTGCCTATGTCTATTATTTCTCCCTCTTCCTCTATACCCTAGGTATGAGGCTGTTCTCTAACTTTAGATGAGACTAAGTGATCCTGCTGCTTGGGACCCCTGCATCACCCCTGACTACTTTCAAGGTGGGGGCCTGTCCCTCTTACCTTTCCAGCCTCACTCAGGCCTCAGAGCCTTGCTCAGCACTGTGGTCCCTCTGGCTACAGGGCATTGAACACACCATGCCTCCTCTCTTCCTCCAGCTGTCCCCTCTTGTTCTTCAGACTGAGCAGAAACATCTCTCTTAGGCAGAAAGCCTGACCTCTCTTAGGAGGGAAAACTCCCCAGGTCTCTGGCTTCATGGTCCCACACCTTTCCCACATTTCATCTCAGCTAGCAAGTTCACATCCATTTGTCAGATAAAGTAGCCAGAGCCTGACTTTTCCATCACTCTGGAAGCTACACAGTGAGGGCCTCAGATGGTATTTGGACTAGCCCCAAAGCCAAGCAAGTGACTCACAGAACACATTCATCAATATGAAAAGGGTATATGAAAATAATGGAGGAAGTCCAAAATAGGAAACCTTTGGGTTGTAAATCAACAAAACTATAGTCAAGAAAAAATATACAGAGGTATGTACCACCAAAGATAGATTCAACTACAGCTCTAAGCATTTAAGTGGCCAAAATAAACAGGAAACATGGCTGGCTGCAGACTCCACAATTTGAAGACAAAACCAGAGCAGCCTTTCCAGAGAAGCCCGGGCTATCCTTAAACTGAGAGGAGAAACAGGCTCACCACATTCAGGGAAATGTCTCGGCCTCAGGCTGGTTCCTGAACCCAACAGGACGGGCCCGAGATGTAGTTTTCAGGGTTCTAGAACTGAATAGCGTCTTCCTTGGATAAAAATGTTATGTGAATTTCCAGCATATGAAGGAGGTAAAATCAGAGCTGTTGCATGGGATGTTGGTGTGGGGGACCTCTGGGGAGTCTCACCTGCTCCCCTCCCACTTCCACTCTGTCCACTCCCTCCTTTTGGCAGCTACTGAAGCTGAGCAGTATGAACCTGCTGACTGAAGTTCTCCTGGGGACACAAGTGGACTTTCAATCAGAGCTGGCTGAACAGGACCCACACCCCATAAGCTCTAGCCAAGGAAGGAGCCAAGCCCAGGAGGTACTGCTTCTTCCACACAGTGAGGCCCTCTCCTGTTCCTTCAAACAACAAATTGTTACTAAGCAGCTACCTATGTCTTCCCTTGGCTCACTCTCCCTCCCACCAGGCTGAGGAGTATCCACCAAAGGCCCACTGTTAACGGCTTGGTGCTATGGGGGGGGGGCGTTGTGGAAACTTTTGCAAGAGGAAGTTAGGTTATTGAAGTTGTGACCTTGAAAGGGATATTGGAACAGCAGCTCCTTCTGTCTCTTTTTGCTTTCTGGCTGCCAGGGAGTAGACAGGTGTCCTTTGCCATGTGTTCCCACCATGACCTGGCCGCCAGAGGCCCAAATGACCATGGACTGAAAACCCTGACATCATGAGGCAATATAACCTTATCTCTCAGGTATTTTGTCACAGTGCTGGAAGCTGACTAGCATAACAGCCAATTCTAGGATTACCTGTAGAAGTCAGGGAGCTATTCCTTCATCTGGTTTTATAAAGATTTATTGAAAGCCGCACTCCTTCATGCATCATTGATTGATTTCCCACTATTCAGTAGAGTTGAGTAGCTGTGGTAGAGTCCCTATGGGCTCCAGTGCCTAAAATACTTGTCTGGTTCTTTGCAGCAAATGCTGTTTGAACCCAGGACAAGGGAAGACCTGGATTAAGGTTTGACTCAAAGACAGTGATCAGCTGATGGAGCTCTGAGGGCTGGGTCCCCTCAGGAAGGACCCCTCCTTCCACTTGGCTTACCGAGGGGACTTCTTTGACTGATTTCCTCTGCTCAGTGAGCTGCACTGCTTCAGTTTTCAAACAATAAGCCAATGAGTGAATAAATAATTGAAAGTCACTGGTTAAGAGCTTTGTATATTATCAACCTAGAAAAAACTTCAAAATATAGTCAGCTCTCTGTATCCACAAGTTCCACATCCTTGGATCTAACTAATCACAGTCTAAATCTGGGGAAAATGTGTGCCTGTATTGAACAATCAGACCCTTTTCTTGTTATCATCTGAACAACGCAGTCCAACTGTGTATGCAGTGTTTGTATTGCACTAGGTACTACACATGACCTAGAGGTGCTGGGCACAGTGTTTGTATCATACTGGGTACTAGACTCAATCTAGAGGTACTGTGCACAGTGTATATATTGCAGGTACTATACCCGATCTAGAGGTGCTGTGCACAGTGTTTGTATTGTACTTGGTACTATACCTGATGTAGAGGTGCTGTGCACAGTGTTTGTATTGTACTGGGTACTATATACGATCTAGAGGTGCTATGCGCCGTGTTTGTATTGTACGGGGTACTATACCTGATCTAGAGGTGCTGTGAAGTGTATGGGAGGTGTATACTGGACCATTTTATATGAGGGACTTGAGCATCTGCAAGCAATGCCCCAGGGGCCTCAAGGGGTGATTATGATCACTACTGAAAGTACCTCCAAGACTGCATTTTTAAGCCACACTGCTGACCAGAAAACTCCCCAAGATGGAGTTGTCAGCTCTTCCAGTGTACTGACCTGCATGTCCTCAGGCACTGACCAGTGAAGGATGGCCCCCAAGATAATTTTGACTTTTTGATATTTAATCTTCCACCATCCCCATCAGCAGGAACTCTTGGCTTTTTGTTGTGGTTGTTGAAACAGTGTCTCACTATGCAGCCCTTTCTGGCCTGGACTCATTATGTAGACCACGGTGGTCTCAAACTCAAGAGATCTACCTGCCTTTGCCTCCTGAGTGCTGGGATTAAAAGCACGGCTAGTTCTCTCTATACCACTGAGAATGAACACATTGTTCATAACCTATGTCCCCTGGGCACTCCTCCCAAATTGTGGCTGCATTTGATTTCCATCTGAATTATTAGTGGCTGAATACTTTCCTTGAACTCTTTTTAAAATGAAACATTTGCTTTAGAAGAAACTTGATATTGTCATGATTCATGGAAGAGAAGTATGGCAGATGACCTTAAACATGGAGAGAAAATACAAATACAAAGGAAAAACTCAAAGTCAGATTTAAAGTCAAATTTGAATTCACTAAACGCTAGGGGAAAGAGTCCCAGACAAGAAAAGTGTGAGAGATGGTGGAGTAGACACCAAGCAAGACTTTCTCCTTGAGGTTGTCATAGGCTAAGGAAAAGTAGGAAGGGTCACTCAGGGGGCCATGTTTATGTGTAATCTAAATCATCTCCCATCTATGCTCTGGAAGAAAAAATATATATTTATACACAAAGATACACACACACACACACACACACACACACACACACACACACACATATATATATAGTAGTGGTGGGTTCATACACCCATTTCATCATTCAAAAGGTCATGAAACTACTTTATAAATGTGTGGCACCCTCTCTTCCATCATAGGCCTCAGATGTGCCCTGAGCAGGTGCACCCTGGGACATCAGGAATGCTAGCCTGGAGCTTTCTTCTGACTCACCTCTGGGGAGGTGTACTGAGGGACAGAATGTTGTTACATAACTGTCCTTAGGGCACCTTTTCTCTTTGGCTATGATTCCTTTTATTAACAACTAGAGCGGTGGGTGGGAGACCGAGCCACAGCTATTGTGACATCACAGGGGCCTGGGGCCTGATTTGGGTCCCATTGCTAGGGTGCTGGTTCACCCCTCAGTGTTCTTTCTCACAGTCTCTCACACTTTCTCATTGCTCCCTAGTACAGATGGGCATGGAGAGAGAGTCCTACCTACCCATAGGACAGGGCAGACAGACCCCAGGTCAGGAGGTCCCTGTTGAACTCTGACCCACTGCCTGATCACTGTCAGCAAGGTGAGAGGACTTCACAGGTCCTGTGGCTGCCAAGGGCAGATCTTGAGAGGAAGGGGTAGACAGGGCTGTGCACACATGTACACACACATATATACCTTACCACCACCGGGCCGGTTGTCCAGGGGTCTGCCCTGCCTCTCCCAAACCAACTTTCCCAGAACCAGCCCCCAACCCTTAGGTGGACGGGTGCCTGCTCTCCATAAACTGGCAATCCAAGCCAGGACAGTGACCTGATGGGGGCTCAGGGGAGGTGACTTGGACTCCACATTCCTGCTCTGATCTCAAGGAGAGGAGCCATCTGGGCAGCTCTTAGGAGTAGAGAGAATCTAGACAGGCCTGCAAGTCTCTCTCATTTGGCACTAACAGCTCAACACTCATGGCCATGGTGAAGTGCAGTGGATGTTTGGAAAAAACTGCCTGGGTATGTGTTAGTGGAGGATGGCCCTAAATATCTATGCTAGGCAGGGGGCAGAGAGGAGTGAGGTCATTAAAACCAGAACCTAAGTGATTAATGCTACAGGAGGCCACAGAATGCTTCAGCATTGGCCGCCATGAAGGTGAAGACGCCACCAGCTTGCCAGAGCCAAGCTCCCAGTTGAACTGAACTTTTATTGAGTTTATTTGTGGGATGCATGACAAGAGGTCTTTTCATCATCAGTAAGAATTAGAAGGTCGTTTTCACAGTCACTTTGGCACACACTAATGTCATGGGAAAAAAAAAAAAAAACACCAGAAAAGCAATGACAACAGAACCTATATAATACGTCATTAAGTACATACAAAACACTAATAAAATATCCCTGATAAAGCAAAGTGCATATAGACAGAGAGCACAATGCCCAGGACCATACCGTGCCATCGGCAGCCGCGCAGGTCACTTACATTGCCTCATCAAAGTTGGAAGTTAACAGTCGTGAGAGAGGATTAATTTGTAGTCACACACCAATTATTTACATAACAGTAATTAGTGCCAGGGGGGAGTAGGAGGAGGCTGGGAGGGGGTACTGAGTGGTCCAGCAGGGATAAGTTATTAATAAATGGAAGGTGGCTGGGGCTGGGTGGGGCTGGTGGGACAGTCAGGCAGGAGTGCTACATTGGTCATGGCTAAGGGCCCAGGTGCGTCACCCTCTGGGTGTAAGGCCGCGCTGTGGGAGCCCCTAGTGGGGTTTCTCCATGCAACAGTCAGCGCCACTGGCCAGGTGGGCATCAGAAGAGGACTCCTTTGTCAGAGATGGGTGGAGTGCCTGCTGAGTTCCTCCACACACTCAGAGGAAGGAGTGAGGCCATCTGGATTTGGAAACCTTACCCTTGGCAAAAAGTGGGTGAATTGGATGGGGTCCCCCTAGACCTTCGGTGCCTGCCTCCTACCTGGACCACATCCCTCATCTGAGGCTGGAGTTAGCAGCCAATTCTGTTAGCTTTCAACTTTAAGGCATTTTCTACAGTGTTTCTAAGCAAAAAAGCAATAAAAATTGAGGTATTCTGTAGTTGTTCACACTGGTAGTGAGGCACATCCATATCAATCAATCAATCAATCATCAATCAATCTCACTCTCTCAATCCTCTGAACGGGTCATAAGCACACAACAAGAAAAGGCCATTGGAACAAATGGACAGAGAATGGAAGTGGTGGTGCATCAGCAAAGTCCCCCTGCCTCCTCCTCCTCCTGATTGGACCCCTGAGAGGACAGGGGATGGGGCCAAGGGCCATGTAAGTTGGATGCAAAGGCCGGACGGAAGCAGGCCATAGTTTCACGAGTCAGAAGGACATACTCAGCAAAGGGCGGCAGCAGCAGCAACAGCAGCAGCGGCTGGGAAGCCCCTGACACTGCAGGAAACTTGGGGTCTGTCACCCCGGCGCAGAGACGCAAAAACACACGCCCCAGAGGCCCCTGTGGCCTCGACTCGATGGTGGGTGGCATCTGAAAGGGGCTGGGGCCGGCTTCCCCTTGGACTTGACCCGCAGCTTCAGCCTGGAGGGATGTGGCCCCACAAGGCAGTCCCCATGGTGAAGTGGTCACATGTGCACTTTGGCCTCTGGCCCCTCCAGTACCACAACAGATCTTTGCCCCTTTACAAGCCATCACGAAACCAGGTCCCGGCCCCACCACAAGAGGCCAGTATCCCCAGACCAGGCCTCCTCGAGGCTGGCCCTCGCTTGCCACCAGGCAGCCCAAGCTCAGGAGGAGCAGGCCGAGCACACAGGCCCGGAGAAAACAGATTCACCCGAGAGAGTGCTCAGCAAGTCAGGGAAGCTTTCCATAGAGAGAGAGGAGGGGAGCCCAAGGCAAGCTCCACAAGGCGCAGGGCATGCACTGGAGGGCAGAGGCAGAGTTATAAACGGGTCGGTTACTTGACGAGATCTTCCGGACAGGCGAGTCAGGGTTGGGCCTGGACAGCCACTGAACCACGTAGCTCTTCTTGGAGGGATCCGAGAGGTTTCCTGGAAGGAGAAAGGGTGTTGCAGCTGCCAGTGCACCAAATAGGGGCCCCCATGCACCCAGAGCAAAGCAGCTGGCCTCCAGGCAGCCTGTAGCCTGGGACAATTGGATGGTTGGGTTCCTCCACTGGGATAACTCAACCCGAATCCTGCCTTTCTCTCTGCCAACCAACCTGGGACCCAGCTTGTACTTAGTGACTCAGCAACTACCTGAGCACCTCAGGCCTTGCCACTTCCTAATCCATGCCCTGCTCCTTCACCTTCTACACCCATCCTGCCCCCAGGCTTCTCCACCTGGTTGCCCAAACCCTGTGTTTTAGAGGAACACAGAATAGAACTCCAGGGTAGGGATGACAAATTGTGACACCACCCTCCCTAGGGGGCCAGGAGTCCCCTAATCCCTGAACTCCCTCCTCAGTAGCAGAGAACTGTGGTGTGGGGACCAAGTGAGTGACACAGCATGACACTGGGCCAGGTGTCTTCATTTCATAGGCCCAAGACACTTCTGCTGGTGGAGTCCTGCTGTGCTGCAGGTCTTGGAGTTCAGGGCCAGGGCAACAGAGTACCATAAAGGTAGGGATGGGCTGAGACCACTCTTACCCTCTGTGTACACTGAGGACACCCATGCGTCAAATGTCAGCTCCTATTTCTGTCAAGGCAAAGTCTCAGCTCTGGCTGGGAGTGCTCAGGTTCTACCTCACTGATAGAAGCCCAGCCACTTTGGGGGAAGAGCAGACTGTATTTGCACCAGGTCCCCCTCTCCCCTCGCCTGGGCTTCTGCATGCTGGGTGCCAGGGACTGCACAGGGCTTACGGGGACAGGGTGCTAGCCTGCAGATCCTTGCCGGTGCAGGCCGCTCATCCCTGCAAACGCCGAAGTTGTCATCTGCGGTGCGACAGAGTACTGGCCGTTCCTGGGTGCCGTTGCCACAGGTTACTGAACACTGCAGGGGCAGAGTCATCAGTCAGGGGTCACCTCCTATGCTGGGCCTTGGATCTGAAGAGTTGGAGGAGCCCATTCTTCCCAGGCATGTGATCCATGGGGGGTGATGTGGGACAGAGTGGGGGTTACAGGCTACCTCATCCAGCTGTGGTGGCTACCCAATCTTCTGGGGCTTTCCTGGGATATATATATGCCTATCTCTCAGGGCAACTGCAAGACCTGATACTTCTAGATCCTGTCTTTCCATGGTTTGGTTACTATTTGAGTGTGTCACTCTAAGACTTATGTGTTGGAAGCTTGGTTTCCTGGTGTGGTAGTAAAGGGAGCTGTTTCTGCCCCACCTGGGCCCCTGCTTCCTGCCTCTCCACGGAGTTACATTACTCTCCCATGTGCTCCTGTGGTGCCATATGTCATAAGATCCTTACTAGGGCCAAGTTGATGATGCCAACATCATGACTTTAAACCCTCAGAACCTGAGCTAAGGAAGACCCTTTATGTAGTGCCTGAAAACCCATATACACTGCTGGTGGGTGTGTGAACCAGTGCAGCCCCTATGGCAATCTGTGAGGGGGTTCCTCCAAAAAGTAAAAACAGAACTTCCATATGACCCAGCTGCACCACTCCTGGGCATCTCCCCAGAGGACTCTACATGCTGCCACAGACACCTGCACATCCACGGTCATCCCTGCACTGTCACAACAGCCAGGAAACGGAGCCAGCCTAGGTGTCCAGCAACACATGAATGGACAAAAAAATGTGTTACATATACAGGTGTCTGTACATGTGTGTATGCATTTGCATGTGTGTGGGCGCCTATATATGCACATGTATTTGCATACATGTGGAGGCTGGCAGCTGATGTCCTGAGTCTTCCTTGATTTCTACCTTATTCATTGACAGGCGTTGTCAGTTGAACCCAGAGTTCACAGATTGGCTAGCCTAGCTAGCCAACTTGCTCCAGGGATCCCCTGTCTCTGCCTTCTAAGATCTGGAATTACAGGCAGGCCACCACACCCACATTTACATGGTCATGGGCATCTGAACTCCAGTCCTCACATTTGTGTAGCAAGTGCTTTAACAGCTGAACCATCTCCGCAACCCCTACACAATGTAGTTTTATTCAGCCACTAAAAAATGGAATCATGACATTTGCCAGAAAATAGATAAAACTAGAGATAATATTAAGTGAAATCAGTCAGACTCCAAAAGACAAATAATATATGTGGCTGCATGCTTCCTCCCATATGTGGAACCTAGATTTAAGTGTGTGTGTGTAGATGATGAAACTAAAGACCATGAGAGGGAGAAAGGCATCCTAAAGGAATGTGGGGGGAGGGGAAAGGCAATACATGTACCATGAACACAGAAGGGGGTGCTATTTGGGGAGAGGGAGGAACTCTCAGAAGAGTGGTGGTGGGGAGCAATGGGGGGAGGACGAATTAGAATAAAATATAATGACACATATTTGTGTGAGGATGTCATAATGAAACCTTTATATGTCAACTTAAAAACTAATAAAAGTATAGCTATGACAATTTAGACAATGGAAAAAGTAATTCAGTTTCTAGGAACGAATATAAAGCATATCTACCCACATACCTTAAAAATAAAAAAGGTACCTGGCCTCAGGTACTTTATTATAGTAATGGAAAATGGTCTAATACACTTCTCTAGCTGGAAGAGGCTAAAGGCCCAGAGAAACGTGTGTTGGGCTAGGGCCCCTGGGTCATCTCTGGTCTAGCCCAGGAGCTTTGGCAGTCTCTGCTTTAACTTTCCCTCTAGGCACAAGGCTCTATCACCATTACCCTCTAGCCCCACCCCTCACCTTCCCTCCACAACATCCTCCTCTGCTTCATGACCTGGGAAGGACCTGGAAGCAGACCTGGGCTACTCAGATTGTTTACACTCCCAAGCAAGGCTGTTATGAGGACTGGCCCTTGTGCAACTCCTGGTCATAGAAGGTTCTGTGTCAACATTTCTGCATGCTTGAGGCCTTGGGACAGGCTGTACCAGCTTTGCCAGATAGTTCCAACCAGCAGTCTGATATAATTTGTGCAAACACCTGCTTTCCCCTGGGATCTTAGGTCTATCATGCATGTGGCTGATTCCCTAATGAGAACCCTGAACATTCAGGCTGTGGCTCCCTGATCTGTGGCCGGGGGGTGGGGGTGGGGGGCAGGAGATATGTCCAAAGTGTAAGGTTCCCTGATAAGAACCCTGAACATTCAGGCTGTGGCTCCCTGAGCTGTGGCCCGGGGGTGGGGGTGGGGGTGGAGGGCAGGAGTTGTGTCCAAAGTGTAATGCCCTGGTCACGTCAATTTCAGTCAAGCTCAGTTTGGGGTCAAGGGCATGGAACTAAGGGGACAGCTTACCTGGGACCAGGGTCCAGCCCGCCACCGCCCAGGGCAGAGTTCCCGGTTGCAGGCACGGCGGCTCTCAGGCCGGTGGTCATTGCAGTGTTTGGTGTGCACGGAGCGGGTGGTGTTGTTGTGCAAAGGCTGGATGCAGCGCACAGAACGTACCTGCATGCCGGTCCGCCCACAGCTCTGGCTGCAAGGCTCCCATTCACCTGTGACCCACCTGCCAGGGCAGAGCAGCACACACGGTCAGGGAGGCCACTTGGCCACAGCCCTGGTAAACATGTAATGTAATGAGAGGTCAGCCTGCTCCCCTTTGCAGCCCAACAGTGCAGCTGTGGAAGCTCTGACATGAAGAGGAAACTAAAGCTCAGATAACCCCCTTCCTTTCCGCTTCTGAGACTCTTCTGGGGCTGGTGGCCTGAGGGGCTCTACACCTGTCTGTCTCCTCAGGTTTCTGGCCCTGACCACAGTTTCATCTTCTGATGGTGTCACGGACCCTTCCTAGCAGATCTCAAAAGCGGTGTGGACTCCCTTAGCCCTCTGTCCATGCATGTTCACTACCCAACCATCTTCCCTCACCTGAGCCCTGCAATAGGAATCTGGTGTCAGAAATGTAGTCCTAAGGAATCCCAGGGTCTGAGGATCAGAGCTCCTGCTTGGAAACACCCAGTACAGTGCCAGAAGCCAGTCCAGGCCCTCTAAGTCTCGGGCCCTATCTGAGCATTCATGTTTTCTGTCATTTCCAGGATGCACATGGTCTGAAGTGGGGTGCACCTTTCAACCTGCAGTACCATTGACTGCAGGAAGTGTGGTGGGTGCAGAGCTCAACACCCCAGGAGATGCCCAGAGCTGCCCAGAGGTGGAGGTCCAATCCCATCCCTTCCTCTATCATATGACCTTACACTGAGGGCCCTCTCCTGAAACTCACACAGGCTGGGAACACTCCTGCGGGTTGCAAGCTCGGCGGATGGCTTTGGGCTTGGCAAGGGCACTGCAGAAGGCTCGATGTACCATCTTGCTGTCCAGTCTCCGTCGGCAACCATACTTGGTGAACTGGGACCCTGAAGACAGAGAGCTTGAGGGGGCTCAATGAGGTGGTGGTTCCCCCGCAGTGTCAGCCCCATTCCCCTCTGTTCGGTTTTGTGAGAAAATCTCACTCAAAGTCATGCTGGCTTTGAGCTCTTTAGCCTAGGATCCACTCAAACTCACAATCCTGATTCAGCCTCCCAAGGGCTGAGATTATAGACAGGGGCCAACGTGCTCATCTCCTCCCTGCTCTTAAAATATGTGAAGAGGAGGGGGCCTTGGAAGTGTCTGGTAAGGTACCCACCCAGTAAGGGAGGGTGGGAACACAAGGCTCCCTCACTGACTTCTGAGGTCACAGGGCAGGCTCTGCTCTTCCATCACATGATGATTTGTTCCACCTTGCCTTAATATGCAAAGGGTGTCTGGCATGAGTCAGGCCTTGGTTAGTGTGGGCACATGGCTCATACGGCTTCTTCCAGAACCGTCTAAGAAGGCCTTTCTCAATAGGGGTAGTGTTCTTTTCTAAGACCACTGGGAAATATCTGAAACACTGTCAGTTGACAGTTGGGGCCTCTAGTAGATAGATGCCGGGGTACTGCTCAACCTCCTATGATGCACAGGCAGCTCCTCAAATAATGGAATAACGAAACCTGAATGTCCATAGTGCCTAGCGTGTACACAAGAGAATATAAGCAGAGACAGGCAGTCTGGGGATTTGAAAGGGTCTTAAGAACAGAGGATGGAGTGGTACTGACCTATGGGAAGGTGGTAGAGGGGACAGTGAGGTGACTTGTGCAGAATTCCTGAGGGAAGCACTGTGTTCCAGAAAAGTACTTGCTATGGATTAGGTACGCATCCCTAAGCATGTGTGAAAGGTTTGATCTCCATGGTGCTCTTTGGGAGGTTGTAGAACCTTTACAATGTAGGGCCTACTAGGTCACTGGGGTGTGCCCCTGTAAGGGGGACTGGGAACCCAACCCTTTCCTCACTGCTTCCTGGCCACCATGAAGGGAGCAGCTTTCTCTGCCATACCCTCCTGCCACCATCTGCTGCCTTAGCACAGGCTCAAAGCAATGAGACCCACTAGCCAGGAATCAAAGCCTCCAAGACTATAAAATGAAAATAAACTTTTCCTTTTAATACATCGATTACCTTGTAACATTAAATTCTTCTTTTTTCTCTTTTTGAGACAGGGTCTCCCTATAGCCCCAGCTGACCTAGAACTATGTAGACCAGGCTGGCCTTGAACTCAAAGAGATCTGATGTCTGCCTCTGCCTCCTGAGTGCTGGGATTAAAGGTGTGCACCACCATGCCCTGCCTACATCGATTACCTTGTACTGTGACAAAAAATATCAAACCCAAGGCTGGTATGGCCAGAGACTGGAGGGTAAGAGATAGGGTACAATGTGGCCAGAGTGTTGCCTGGACCTCGGAGGCCACAGGGAGAATTTTGACTTTTATCTTACAAAAGGAAGGAGCAGGATCTGATCCCCCTTGCTTTTTATGTTTTTAATTTTATCATCTTTGTGTTTATGTATGGTGTGTGTGTGTGTGTGCCTTTTGCGTATGTATGGGCACATCTGTGTGTGCATGTGTGCATTTGGTGGGGGCCCAAAGTTGATGTTGGGAATCATCCTTGATTTCTTTCCCCCCCTTATTCACTGAGGCAGGGTCTCTCAATCAAATCCAGAGCTCACTGATATGGCAAGTCTTAAGTGCTTTGGGAATCTCATCTCTGCCTTCTGAGGCTGGAATTACAGGAAAGGTGCTATGCTCACTTCTCATTTACATGGGTTCTGAGGATCTGAATTCTCATTCTCATGCTTGCAAGGCAAGTGCTTTAACCAGCGAGCCATCACTGATGCCCGGATTCACCCCTTTAAAAGGTCACTCTGGGACCTAGAGGGTGGATCCACAAAAGACACAATGGTGCTGGACTAGGGGCGGCTGGGAGGACTAGCAGATGGAGCCCAGACATATGCAGCGGCAATCAGCAGGACCTGTGGTGAGATCCAGGTAGGGAGTGGAGAAGGGTGGGAGGCAGAATAGGAGGCCAGGGGTGTCATCTGCTTAGGATGAGGTCCCCCACTCCTATTGACCTCCTTGAGGACAGTAGTGACCACTTTCCCTCTATCTCACCCAGCCCCACCCCCAACTCTGGATTGATAGGGCTCCCTGTCCATGTGTATGTTCCATGTCCCAGTCAACAAGGCATTCTTTGAGGTAATTCCAACCCCTCTGCATTCAACCTAAGAAGCTCTGTGGTGTCTATTTTCTGAATAGACACCAGTGGTGTCCCCAGTGCTGTCTGAGTCTCACCAGTGTTGCTGCCTGATCCATCCAAGCCACTCACATGCCAACCTCCTACCAGGCCAGCCTCCCTTCTCCCACAGTGATGTGGTCTATGCTGGGGTGACCCACATCCCACAGGTAATACTGGCTACATCTGGGCTGATATCTCAAAAACCTGCCTCTTCCCAGCTACCCATGGGCCCTTCCGAGCCCAGGCTAAGCCCTTGACCATTCAACAAAGGTCACTGCTATGCCCCTCTCCCAACCTCTGGATCCAGCTTTCTTACATTCATCACCAGTCACTGGTCTCTGGACCTCAGTCATCAGGGAACTGTTGGCCCAGGAAACTCTTCACTCCGAAGACCATCCAACCAGCCCCAGCCTCCTCCAGAATCCCCACTTCTGCTCACATGGAGGGATGCCCCCCATGCCCAGTCTAAGTACCCCAGCAGTGATAACTCCCCTCACCTCCACCACAGGGCTTGGAGCAAGGAGACCACTTCTTTAGGGCCCACTCGTGGCGCACAGAGTCGTCTTCTAGGACGTTGTTGTCATCCACGTTGAGAGAGTCCTCATGGATCATGTACTTGTATGTCAGTGAGATCCGGGTATCTCCCTCGGGGATAACCTGAGCCCATCCCCAACACAGTCATGAATATGTCTGTCCAGATGTATGTATGCCTGTACTCTGTAACCAACTTATCCCCAGGCAGATTGACAACCCAGAGGAAAAAGACAGTCCCTACCTTATGATGGCCTTAATGGTTTTCAACCTTATGAAGGCGTGAGAGTGATATGTGTTCAGTGGAAACAGTATCTCAATTTTTCAAAAGTACCTGGAATTGTAAATTTGGGTCTTTTCCCCAGCTAGCAAGATATAGTATCTCATTTGTGTGATGCTGATGGAGGCAATGAACCTTGACTGCAATTTTGGTACATCCAATGTGGCTTTTGTATATGTTCAACTTACAATGGGGTTATGGGGCTATAACCAGTCAAGGAGCATCTATATAGGGCTAGAATCCTGTGGGCTACTCATCAAAACATTAAACATTACATATATATATTTAGTGTGTATGTGCGCACGTGTGTGTGTTGGAGGTGGGTGGGGGTCCACATGTGCCAGTGTGAATGTGCGGAGGTCACAAGACAACCTATAGGAGTTGATTCTCTCTTTCTACTATATGGGGCCTGGGACTTGAACTTAGGTCCTCAGGCTTGGAAGCAAGCACCTTTACCAACTGAGCCATCTTTCCCACCCTGGTCATAATATTTCTGTCATTTTGTGTGCATTTCTGTTTAAACACAACTTACTGTTTATTTTTGATCCATTAACACTGAGCTCAGTCAACAGCACTGTAACATGTCTGAATGAAACTTCTTTAACATACAACCTCTATCCCAACCTTCCTGGGCTTAGGAATATCAGATAGCTCAGAAGCAATTTTTAGTATTATGTTTTTTGAGACAGGGTCTCATGCAGTCCAGGCTGGCCTCAAACTTGCTATGTAGCCAAGGATGACCTTGAACTCCTGATCTTCCTATCTTTACCTCCCAAGAGCTAGGATTGTAGGCATGCACCATGCTGGCTTATGCAGCACTGGGATTGAACCCAGGACTTCCTGCATGCTAGGAAAGTACTCTACCAGCTGAACTACATCTCTAGCCAATGAGGGTTCATTTTTAATAGCAGAATCAGCTATGTGATGTGGTGACTCAGGTTTTTAAAGTTACAATCGCAGCATTCAGGGAGGCTGAAGTAGGAAAAATGCCACAAGTTCCAGGCTAGCCTAGGCTGCAGAGCCCATCTCAGGGAAAAAAGAGTCACACTAAATACACTGCACAGCAAATATGTCGCAAAAAAGGTCACTTGTTCACATTATGAAAGCCGAAACCAAGGGCAGAGTGCGTTGCCTCCCCTCAGCCAGGCGTATGTGTGTCAGGCAGCCCGATGTTCATTTGGAGGTTATAAGTCAGTTTCGGTGAGTGGATAAATTCAGAAGTACAGAAATTTTATGCACTGACATGGGTAGATCACCAAAAGCTTCTCTAAAAAGTGACAAGTTGCAGACAAGGTGAGTAGAAGGACTGTGTACATGACACAGAAGTGGCCCTATCACTGTATCTTCTCCACAGATACACTCCTACAAGTGGGGCCTGAGGTCTGGGTGACCACACCCAAACCCAACACCCAATTCAAGCATGCTCACATTAGGGGTGGGGCTTGGTGCTGCAGCCTCATCTGTAGCCTGTGAAATTTTCAAAATTTATTTATGTAATCAGTGGTCATGGTTACCACTCATGATTGTGGGGTAGAGAGAATTTAGAGGAAGTACCAGTTTAACTGGATGTGTGTGTGTGTGTGTGTGTGTGTGTGTGTGTGTGTGTGTGTCTGCAGTACCTGTGAAGACCAGATGGGGGCATCAAATTCCTTGGAGCTGGAGTTGCAGTATTTGTGAGCCCCTTGATGCAGTTGCTGGTCTCTGAGCTCTGGTCCTCTGATAGAGCAATAAGCACTCAAGTGCTGAGCCATCTCTCCAGCCCCCACTTTTTGCGACAGGGTATTAAGTAGCCCTGGTTGGCTTGAAACTTGCTATGTAGACCAGACTGGCCTTGTGCTGCTCCAGCCTCCCTGCTCCTCCCAAGTGTTGGGAAGACAAGTGCCTGCTCAATGCATGAATTTTCTTTGACAAAATATTATCACTTAAGCAACTAATTTAAGTTAAATTTTCCAAAGTGATTTGAAAATATAGTCCTCTTAGGACTCCCCATAACCAGAACCAGCCTGTAGTCCTGATCTAGGAAACCTGGGGTCCACTTCTGCTTAGACACTTCTGCTTAGACACCAGCCCAGGTGTGGCAGGATTTCAATATGATATCAGAGGTGAATGTGCCTGATGACACAGCTGTGAATATAATTCAGACAGAAAATGGAAACCCGTAGAGAGGCAACATGGCCCACAATCACCTAAGTGCAGGGACCAGAGCTCCAATGTGTGAGTCCATGCCTGTTTCTGGATGACATGGAGGTGGAGACCAGGGCAGGGCAAAGAATTGCTCAAAGTGCGGACTGAAGAATGCAGGAGGCTCTGGAATCCCAGGCCCTCATCCTTTTCCAGGGCCGTGTGTACCCAGGGGCCCAGGCAGCACTAACCAGCACGGTGATGGTGCCTCGGAGGGGTCCTATGGTCTGCAGTGTCTCCCTGTCATCCTCATTCCTGTACTCCCACTCCACACCCATGGAGATGAAGGATCTAGAATTGGGATCCACGTGGTTCTCTTCATTTAAGATGAACTTGCCTGACTCCAGGTTCTTGACGGCTGAGAATGGCAAAAGGGAACCCATCAGGGCTGCTGTGGGGGGTCCAGCAGGGCATGCTGCTTCTGATGGACAGGGAGGTCATGGGGTCTTTCCCAGCTGCCCCCTACTGGGGGTCTATCCCTACAGCTGATAGACCAGATTGCTTTGGGAGCCCCACCCAACCTTTGGGTGCTCCATGAACACTGTCTGCATGATTTCTTCTGCTTAGCCCACCACCACTCGTGGATCTGTCCCCACAGGTCCTGGAGGACTGGGGCTCCCTGAGAAGCAGCTCTGCACCCCCAGCAACCTATTAGAGCACTTGGTTGCCACTTAGAGGTTGCTAGAATTTGGAGTTTGGGTGTTCCCCAAAGCCCATGTGTTAAACTCTTGGTCCTCAGGATGCCTCTGTTTAGGGTGCAGTGGAACCTCTGGGAGGTGGGGCCTCAATAGAAGGCCTTTGGATTGTTGGGGTCAGACCCCTGAAGGGGATTGTATAAGAACCCTGCTATCCTCCCTCACTGCTTTGTTCTAATCTCCTGCTTTCATCAGAACCAAGCCAATACAGGCACCAGGCCTTTGGATACCCAAAACTGTGAGCCAAAGAAACCTTTTCTCTTTGAAGGTTGCTGGCCCCAAGTATTTCATCATAGGAATGTGAAGCTAACTGATACAGAGGCCTCCAGGACATGCTGGCAGGCTCCATGGGTTTGGGCACCTGTGGATATGAGGGCACAGGGGTTGGGTGTGGGCTGAGCTGTAACTTCCTGACACAGTGGTGAGCACAAGGCTCACCCCCACCTCATCTATAGCTGGACTGGCCAAGGCCACACTAGCTCTCCACACTGCCCAAAAGTCCTGACTCAACTGGGATGAGCCACTAAGGCAGCTGTCTGGGGGCACTGAATGGTTTGGGGGGCACAGATAGGGCATGGGTCAGCAACTCATCTCCTGTGAAGTCTGCTTAAGTCTGCCTGATGGTGCTTGTGGGGCCAGTGGTCAACTGTCTTTCTAGTACTGACTCCTCCAGCAGTCAGGGTGGCCTTGACCTCTGCCCCAGTGACTCTGGGAAACAGTACAGGGACAAAACAGCTTTACTGCTTGGGACTTGACTTAACACTCACCTTCTCCTAAAGGTGTGTGGAACTGGTTTTGTGCTTAGAGTGCTAGTGACCTTCTCCTTAGAGTAACTAAGGGTGTTAAAAGAGTGGAGGGTTTGTCCTGCATCAAACAGGGGGGCTTCTGCAAGTTCTCAGCTCAGTCCAGCCTCCAGAAGACAGATTGGAGGAAAGGACACATTCATAGTAACTCCTGCAGTGGTCCCCAAGATGACTGCTGACATAGACCCCACAATCCCCCAGGAGGAAGGATGTGGATGCCTCTGGGAGAAGGGGGTACACATGTCTGTGGTTCTAGAATGGGGTCCTGAGCAGGCTAAGCAAACATCTTTTCACAGTTCCCACCATATCAAGAGATGCTGGAAATCCCAATTTTCGGTGAAATATCTTACATTTAAAAATGAAAGGACATGGGCTGGAGAGATGGCTCAGTGGTTAAGAGCACTGACTGCTCTCGCAGAGGACCCAGGTTTGATTCCCAGCACCCACATGGCGGCTACGAACTGTCCTTAACTCCAGTTCCAGGGGAATCCGACGCCCTCTTCTGACATCTGCGGCATTGCACGACACGGGTGCACTCACTGACATGCAGGCAATACACTCATACACATAAAATGAAAATAATAAATAAAACATTTAAAAAAAATTAAAGGGCACATGACTGGTGCATGTGATCCCTGGCCCTACAACTAAACAAATGAATCAATAAACGAATAAAAATAAGTGAATAGGGCTGGAGAGATGGCTCAGCGGTTAAGAACACTGGTGGTTCTTGCAGAAGACCCGGGTTCGAATCTCAACACCCACATGGCAGCTAACGACTGTCAGTAACTCCAGTCCCAGGAGACCCAACATCCTTTTCTGTCCTCCGTGGGCACTGCACGACACGAGTGCACTTATCTACATGCAGGCAATACTTGCATACACATAAAATAAAAATAATAAATAAAGTAAAAAACAATAAGTGAATAATCTAAAGATGCATAAATGTGTGAGCATTCGCTAACTGGCTTTGGTGCCTTCCAGTTGGTGTGTGTTGGGACTGCCATCAGGACCCTGTTGCTTACAGACATTGCCTCCCTTCCCTGGGGCAGAGTAGTCTTCCACCCTCTGCGGACTGTAGGGTTGTGGCCTGTCTGGGACGGGCATCCATCTGCTGCTGCCTCCAGGAGAGCCCTCTCTGATCCCAGGGTCTGCCCCCGACCACAGGAAGATGAACCTTGGAAAGTCCAGGAAGTGAGCTGATGGAGGGATCACTGGGGCTGAGACACAACCCTGGAACCTGTGGACTCCGCCCATCCCAGAAGAGCCAGGTCTTGCAGGTGGGGAGCAGCTGGGCTCTGAGACTCACACAGATGGTGGCTGCTGGTGTCTGCCTCCTGGATGAGCAGGTGTCTAGCTCCCGCAGGGATTTCAAACATCTTGATGTAATCTTTGGGGGTGGAAAAAACACCAGATGAGAATATGGGAAGAGGCACCAATGTAGATGCACTGGGAGAAGCCTGCCCTTGAAGCCAGCTCCATTGAGGACCCTCCCAAGGCCTCTGTATTGGCCACCCACTCAGAGAAGAGTCAACCAGAAAGCTACTGGGTATGATCCAGGCCACAGCCCGGGGCTGGCCAGGATGCTCTCCTTTCTGCTTGTCCTCAAATCCCACCTGAAGACTCCATTGGGAATCTAGCCCAGAGCCATGCTGGGAAGAGAGCATAAGATGCCCTGTCTAGGAGGCAGGCCACATGCCAGCCTCATGACCTATCTGGACCTTAGCCCTTACACTTGCAAACCATACCAGAACGCCACAACAAGGGTAGGGTGCAGCAAAGTATGTGCTGAGCACCTAATCTGCAAAGCTATTCCTGGCCATTGGCTCCCAGCCAAGACCTACAAGAAAAACAAAAACAGCTTCTCCCCACGTCAGAAACAGATGGACTAACACCACAGAGGTGAGGCTAGCGGCTGCGGACCTGCCCAGAGGGCTGAGGGCCATGCAGAAGCACATGCCAGGATGAAGCCATGATGTTGTGGATGTTGCTTATAAGTGTTCCCCATGTGCTAGGTCCCCAATGTCATGATATTGAAGGGACAGGACCTTTAAGAGGTGTGGCCTAATGCAAAGGAATCAGGTCCTGGGGATCCACCTTTGAAAGGGATTCCTGCTGGTCTCATAGAATTGGTTAGTTCTCCAAGTGCAAGTTGTTAGGAAAGGAAGCCATTCCACGCTGGTGTTTACTGAGTGGATGGTTTCCTTTCTATTTCTTTAACTTGCTTTTTAACAGCCAGGCGGCCCTCCCAGTACCACACTGCCTGGACCCCACAGCCACTGGAAGTGTGAATTAAACAATGTTTTCCATAGAGTGCCCGGTCTTGGGTATTTTGTCATAGTGACACAAAGTAGACGTAAGACAGAGGCTTGGCCAGAAGGCCAACCTCCCAGAGCCCATCTTCAATGCTGAGGTTTTGAGAGGCTCTAGAACCTTTAAGAGGTGAGACCTAGGGGCTGGAGAGATGGCTCAGCAGTTAAGAACACGGGCTGTTCTTGCAGAAGACCCGGATTCGAACCAGCACCCACATGGCAGCTAATAACTGCCTGTAACTCCAGTTCTAGAGGATCCAACAGCCTCTTCTGTCCTCCGTGGGCATTGCACAACATGGGTTCACTTACATACATGCAGACAATACACGCACACACATAAAATAAAAATAATAAATATTTTTTAAAAGGTGAGACCCAGTGATGGCCCTCTTTGTGTACCTGCCACTGTGATACTATCTGCCCTGACATGGCAAAGCCAGAGGGGCTCTGAGCAGAGCCGCCATCACCAGAGCATGACCATGTAACACAGACTTGCAATGCTCAGAGCCAACTTAACTCCTTTTTTCTCTTTTTTGACAAGAGTCTCATGTACTCCAGTACCCTCGAACCTAGTTATATAGCTAAGAATAGTCTTGAACTCCTGATTCTCTTCCTGAGTGCTGTGATTCTAGGCATGCAGTACCATTAAATCAATCACAGACAAGGTCTAACAGCGTGGAAAGGTTTTATCCACTTGTATTAGTTGCTTTCTCCATAGATCTCTGTTAGGTACCATAGCATGGGTAAGAGGATTAATTTGGTTAGCTCTTTACTATCTTTACTTATCCATTTGGAGTCATTCCACATTCTGGGGATTTTACATTGAGTCTCTTTGTATCTTTTTACTGCCTAAACTATTTTCATTGTAAGTTACTAAGTCTATGTAAGTTACTTTGTAAGTCTTTGCAAGTTTACTAAGTCTATATAAGTTACTTTGTAAGTCTTTATAAGTTACTAAGTCTCAGCTATTTTGCTACAAAACTAGACTAATAGATCCAAGAGTCCCAAGCTCCCCAGTCCTGTCCTATAGCCTGTGGTAACAGACTGACTGGGTCTCCTAGCCACTCACTTCACTGATCAGCTCAGGGAAGTCTTGCTGACAGCCAGCTGTGGGCAAAAGAGAGGGAGGAAGCAAGGGACAGGCTAGAAGAGATGGGGAGGGGTATCTTCTGTCAGCCCCTGACCTCAAATAAAGGCCCACCTGGGACCCAGGCCTTCATACCACTGAGGCTTGGGCTCCAGCTCCCTTACAGGGCTCCTTCTCCTGACCCTCACAGCCCCCAGCCCCTAACAGTCATGGACCCACACAGAGTCCCAGAGATGGGGGGATTTGGACCCTTGCCCTAAAAGGTGCAGCTGACATTCAGCCCTGGGGGTAGAAGGCAGGTTCCACACCTTGCTTCCTGGGCGACCTGGTGAATGTGCCCTTCACCACTTTGCAGTGCATGTTGTCTCCTCCACACACGCCACACTTGTCCTCTTGCTTGCTGGAGCCAATCACACCGTCACAGCCCACCTTCTGCAGGGGAAGAGGGAGTAGGGAACCCTTGAGACCCCATTCCTGCTCAGGTTGCTGTTCCTCCCACAGCCCACAGTCTGGGCATCAGTTCTTAGGGGCTCCCAATGCAGGGTAAGGCAAAGGACTTCGGAGTCGTGTGGACCCCACATGGTCACAATGGGCCATTTGCTCTCTTCCTGCCTCAGTCCATGCATCTGGAAAATGTGACCTCCAGAATGCTGCTGCTGCACAGGGTCACGTGATGAGCCCGTCTTATCACTGGCCAGCTAGCCTCCAATAAACACTTCCCTCCTCTTGGTGTCAGCCCCTTCACACTTCCTTTTTCCAGGAGCTGCCCATACTGAGCATCCCAGAGGCAGCCCTGCACACAGCCACCCCACTAGCTCTGTCCTCAAAGGATACAATGTCCTTTCTAGTCAGTCTTCTGCTATCTGAGCAAACTGGATGGGCTACTTTTACCTTTATCCTCTCCCTGAATCCTTAACCCTACCCTTCCAGGAGCTGAAATGCCTGTCCAGAATGGGGTGTTCTTTGCTCAGGAGCACAGATACTTTCTGTACCCCTAGCACGAGGCCATTCTCAGGACCACAGATACTTAAGGAGCCTATGCACGTCAGTGGCCCTGAGGATACATCCCTGTCTTGATGCCACCTTTACACAGATGGCCAGAGTGACCTCTCTTCAAGCTCAGCAGAGAACACGAGCTCTCCTCTGACCTCAGCGCTGCTCTCTGACTTCCAGAGTGTCTGAGTGCATCACAGCTTAACCTTCTTGCCCTGGCCAGCAGGAAGCTCAGTCAGCGACAGGTGTGAGCCACCATGCCTGGCTCCTTTGCTCTTAGATTTCTTCTTTTTTCCCTTTCTTTTCTTTTTCCTGTGACAGAATCAAACCTGCAGAGCCTTACTCCTGCTAGATAAGTGCTCCACCACTGAGCTACACCCATGGCTGCTGTCTGATTTCTAAGGTTGTCTTAGAAGGATTTTTTAATGGCAGGGTCTCATGACCACAGAAGGGGCACAGAGCAGCATCTTGTATAGCATCTGTCACACAGACGTGTGGATGGATGTTCAAGACCTTTGGTTTCCTACTCTGTGTGTACCTGTGTACGTGTTTGAGTGCGCATGCATAGTGAGGCCAGAGGTCAGCCCCAGGTGCCATTCCTCAGGGGCTGCCCATCTTGGTTTTTGAGACGGGGTCTCTCACTGGTCTGGAGCTTGCCAAGCCGGCTAGGCTGCCTGGACAGTGAGCCCCAGGGAGTTGCCTGGCTCTGTCTCTCCAGCACTGGGATGACAAACCTGTGCCACCACACCTGGCTTTTTAAAATCTCTGATCTGGGATAGAACTTGGGTCCCCATGCATACATGGCAAGCCTCAGCACCACCAGGTTTATTGATATACATTCAACATAAGTTTTCTGGCTATTTTTGGAAGTGAGCAGGGTGTAAAACCCGATGGAAAGAAACACACTCATGTTTATTTTAATGGCTCCCAAGAAACCCATTTTTACCAAAGGAAGCCAACATGATGTACTGGGACAAAAACAGCATCCATCTTTGGTGGTGCAGAAGCCTGAGCCAAAAGCACAGAGCTGCCACTTCCTGGCTGTGGTCATGGGGGGCACACCCATCAAACTCTCAGAGTTTGTGTCTATATTTGTTCCACAGAATAAATATGGTGTTCCTTCTGAACATCAGAGCTGCCTCCCTGCCCTACCAGGGTTGTGGCCAGAGTAAGAAGAGATGACCCTGGCCCAGCATTTAGACATCCCAAACCCTGGCACAGGACCTGCCTTAGTGAAGGATGGAAACAATGCTGAAGGAGAAGAGGAGGAAGAAGAGGAAGAGGAGGAGGAGGAGGAAGAGGAGGGAGAGGAGGGAGAGGAGGAAGAGGAGGAAGAGGATGAGGAGGAGGAAGAACCAGCAGGAGGAGAGGAGAGTCTCTTTGCAGGGAGATAGGCAAACTCCCCTTGGAAATCTGTCTCTAATACCAAGGGACTTAGTGTCTAGAAACACCCAGGTTTCTAGAAGCTTCTCTGACTGTAGTGATCAGGAGCAAACCTTCCCAGCAGCTATAGAGGAAGTAGGTCCTGACACATGCATAGGCACATGGTCTCGTGACTCCTGAGACAGCTGCATGGCTGGGCTTCCCTGCCGGACTTCAGCTGTCCCAGCTGACCCTTGCCCCTGCCACCTTGGGTGCCTCCAAAAACACAGGAGTAGAAACAGCCTGGAGCAGGGTCCCCACTGCCTGGTGCCTGCTTCTTCCCTTTCCCGCCGCTGCAGGTCTGCCTGTGGACTCTGCCGGTCAGTCCCTGAAGGAGGACGCCTTTTCTCAACAAGCAAAGATGAGAGCTATCTCCATGACACTCATACTTAGTCCTGTCTTCTCCAACCCTAGCAGAAGCATCTAGGTGTTTCCAGGAGAGACTGCTGGGGCAAATCTGTGCTTGTGCTTCTACTGCAAGCCAGGTTACTCATTGTTGTTGTCTGTGACTGTCCAGACAGAAGCTTAGGATATACAGATAGCCCCCAGCCTACAGTGGTTTCAACATTATGATGGTGCAAAGAGCAATGCATGTCTGATTAAATTCATACTTTCATTGCTTTTAAAGGTAGTCTCATATAGCCCAGGCTGGCCTCAGACTTGCTATGTAGTCAAAGCTATTGCCTTCAACCCCTGATCCTCCTACTTCTACCTCTCAGGTTTTGGGGTTAGAGGTAGGAATCACCACCCATGGCTCCAGCCAGCTAGACAATCAGGAGTGGACAGAACTGAAATTCTACATTGCACTGTATAGCTAAGCTGGGGGTGTTCTGAAGGCTAGGTAAGCTCAATGCATTTCAAATTTTGACATTTTGACATTTCCAATGGCTAATGGGATTATTGGGAAGCAAGTTCATTCTTTAAAAAATATTTATTATTTTATGTGTATGCGTGTATTGCCTGCATGTAGGTAAGTGCACCCATGCCGTGCAATGCCCACGGAGAGAAGAAGCGGTCGGATCCCCTGGGACTGGAGTTATGGACAATTGTTAGCTGCCATGTGGGTGCTGGGATTCGAACCCGGGTCTTCTGCAAGAACAGCTAGTGTTCTTAATGGCTGAGCCATCTCTCCAGCCCCCGCAAGTTCATTTTTTGTAAGTCAAGACACACTGAAATAATCAACACTTGGTGAAGCATTTCTGCAAACTACCAAACCAACAAGACTTGCCTTGGGCCACCTGACCCAAGGACAACTTTCCAGAGCTCTACAGAGTGCAAGGGTTGGGCACACTTCCTGAAGAATCATCAACTGTGGGTCTATACACTGGACCCATGTTGGTGAGCTCATAAAAAAATTAATGTTTCTGGAAGCTGGGTGTGGTGGGACATGCCTGTAATCCCAGTTCTCAAGAGGCTGAGACAGAAAGACTATGAATTTGAGGCTATTCTCTGCTATATAGGGAGCTCCAGGCCATTCTGGCCATGGAATCTTGTCTCAAAAGTTTTGTCAACTTGACACAACCGAGAATCACCTGGGGAAAGAACCTCATGAGGGGTGGTCCATGAGCCTGGCCTGTGGGCATGTGTGGGGGACTGTCTTGATTCCTAATTGATGTACAAGGACCCAGCCCATTGTGGGTGGCACCATTCTCTAGGCAGGGGGATTCTGAACTGCATGGGAGAGAGGGCACTAGCAAAGAGCAGGCAGGCAGCAAGGCTCCATGTATTTATTCTCCCTCTGCTCTGGACTGTGGATGTGATGCATGAAGTTCCTGCCTTAACATCCCCCAGCAGTGGACTGGAACCAGAAATTCTAAGCCAAATAGACCTCTTCCTCCCACATTGCTCTTCACAAGGGTGTTCATCATAGCAACAGAAATGACTATGGCGCTTTGTGGTCGGTGGTGCTGTTTCTCACACTTTGTGTACGGATGTCTCACTACATCTTCCCAAGATGCAAAAGCTGGAGCCCAGGAGGCTGCTACTTGGAGCCTCAGCCCATGCTGCCTTGCAGCACTTACCCTGCAGTCCCCACGCACACAGAGGCTGAAGGCATCCTTGTAGGAGCAGCGCGTCCCATCATGCACCATGCGCTTCATGGACACCACCTCCCCAGTCTCTTTGGACTCACAGTAGAGGTGGCATCTCTCCTTGGCTGGAAGGGAAGCAACAGGGTGTCAGGGAAGAGACTTCTTGAAAGAGCACCTCACCAGGAGAAACTTGGTGTTCTTAGAACTCACCTGCCCCCCATGCAGTGTGTGTTCCAGGACACACAGAGAAAGGGACAGGCCACAGTGACCTCCTTCCTATCTCTGTGGCTTCTGAGCTTTGACTCTGGTGCTACTGGTCTTAGGAAGAGCTTTTCCCGACTGAGTCAGCCAAACTGTGCATGAAACTCCCATATGGCAGCCTTGCAGCCCTGCCAAGGACTCTTGACTCTGAAGAAGCAAAGGGTTCTTTGCCAAGTTTCCATGTAAAGAGCCATAAGTACAGGTAGCTGGAGCTATGGCTCAGCAGTTAAGAGCACTGGTTGCTCTTGCAGAGGACCTGGGTTTAGTTTCCAGCAGCCATGTGGCAGTTAACAACCATCTGTAACTCCAGTTCCAGGGAATCCAATGCCCTCTTCTGGTCTGTGGGCACTGCATGACATGGGTGTATTTACTATATGCAGGCAAAACACTCATACACATTAAATAAACAAATAATTTAAAGAGCCCTATCCAGAACCTTTCTGCACCATTAGTTGAAGTGTAAATTAGTGAAGCCACTGTGGAAATCAATGTGGGTTTCTAAAGGAAACTAAAGCTAGAACTCCCATGAGATGTGCCTACCAGCCCTTGGAATAAACCCAAAGGAATCTAAGTGAACTGGAGAGCCTACACCTCTGTCTATGTTTATACTGCAGCACAAACACCAAGATACAGAATCAGAGTAGGTGCCCACCAACAGAAGAGTGGATAAAGATGTGATGCGTACATACAATGGAGTTTTATTCAGCCATAAAGAAGAAAATGAAGTCATTTCAGAAAATGGGTGAAACTGGAGACCATCATGTTAAACAAA